TTGCACTTCCGCCCATGGTTGAACAGATAGAAGATGATGAGCCAACAGTTGTTAAGGAAAAGGAAGCAGGCAGAGTTTATATCAGGGATAAGGACAGACAACAAGTCACCTGGATGTAAGAAACTATTTTTCTTCCTCTACTGCCAACTTCTCCAGATGAGTGTCCAGAGTCAAACCCCTCCTGAGAGTCTAGGTAATTCTGATTCAAGTGCTCCTATTCCTGATGTTTCAGATCTTGATGTTCCTATTGCTAATAGGAAGGGGGTTAGGTCATGTATTAAATATCCTATTACTAATCATGTCTCTTATTCTAATCTGTCTTCTTCATATAAAACTTTTCTGTCTAAAGTGTCTTTTGTGAGTCTACCTACCAATTTTCAAGATGCTCTCTATTCCTGAATGGAAGCATGCCATGATGGAAGAGATGAGAGCTCTCAGCAAGAGTGGCACTTGGGAGTTAGTGGATTACCTAGAGGCAAAAATCCAGTTGGGTGTAAGTGGGTGTACACGGTAAAACACAAAGCAGATGGTTCCATAGAATGGTACAAAGTAAGACTGGTTGCTAAGGGTTTCACTCAGACTTATGGAGTGGATTACCAAGAGACATTTGCACCGGTTGCTAAGACGAATTCTATGAGAATCTTACTCTCTCTTGTTGAAAATTTGGATTGGCCACTTCATTAGTTTGATGTGAAGAATGCCTTCCTTCATGGAGATCTAGCAGAAGAGGTCTATATGGATATTCCTCTTGGTTTTGCGGATGCTAAGTCCAACGGTAAAGTATGCTGGCTCCGAAAGTCACTTGATGGACTAAAGCAATCTCCTAGGGCTTGGTTCGAAAGGTTTGCTCAAGCTATGCTGAAATATGGGTTCAAGCAAAGTCAAGCCGAACACACCTTGTTTTTGAAACACTCCTTACATGGTAAGACCACAACTTTTATTGTCTATGTTGATGATATTGTTCTGACAGGAGATGATGTGGAGGAGATTCCTCGTTTGAAAGAATACTTAGCCAAGGAGTTTAAAATCAAAGACTTAGGCTATTTGAAATATTTTTTGGGCATTGAAGTAGCTCGGTTCAAGGATGGCATCTTCATATGCTAGAGGAAGTATGTACTTGACTTGCTAAAGGAAACTGGAATGCTTGGAAGTAGACCATGTGATACACCTCTAGAACCGGGCCAGAAACTGAGCGAGGATCAAGATGGAGATCCAGTGGACAGGGGGAGATACCAGAGACTAGTGGGAAAGCTCATATACTTATTCCACTCACGTCCAGACATTGCCATTGCCGTGAGTATGGTGAGTCAGTTTATGCATGCTCTGAGAACTTCCCACTTAGAGGCAGTTATGAGAATCCTGAGATACCTGAAAGCTTCTCCGGGAAAGGGTCTATATTTCTCGAAACATGACCATCTCAGTGTGGAGGCATTTACTGATGCAAATTGGGTTGGATCCATCACTGACAGACGATCAACTTCTGAATATTGCACATTTGTTGGTGGCAACCTAGTCACATGGCGAAGTAAGAAACATAATGTGGCTGCTAGATCTAGTGCTGAGGCAGAATTTAGGGCTATAGTTCAAGGTGTATGTGGGTTACTATGAATTGAACTATTGTTGGAAGACTTGGAAATCCATTAGAATGACTCCATGCGACTATATTGTGACAACAAGGCCGCAATCAACATAGCTCATAATCGAGTTCAACATGATAGAACTAAGTATGTGGAAATTGATAGGCACTTCATCAAGGAAAAACTCACTAGTGGTATTATATGTTATTCCATTTGTGAAGACTGAAGACCAACTAGCCGATGTTCTCACCAAGGGGCTAGAGAGCAAACCATTTCATGGCATTCTCAATAAGCTGGGAATGAGATATATTTTGTCACCAGCTTGAGGGGGAGTGTTAGAATAGGAAATACGTGATTCTGTAATTGTGTTTCCTTTTATTATGCCTTATGGCACTCCTATAATTACTCAGTATTATCAATATAAAAGGGAATGAAGTCTACCTCGTTCCCTAACTCTTTCTCTTCTCTAGAACTACATATATATATATATATATATATAGATATATTAAAAAACAAACAACTTGGAGAATCATTATTAAATTGTATTGCAAAACCCCACATGGATGAATAAATAAATGGATAGGAAGTGATAGAAATTGTAAATAAATAAGAGATCCTCACAAGCAGTGGAGTGAAGGGTGCAAACCAAGATTTCCTGGGAAACCCAGCTCTAGATTAGTTTTTGAAGAGTTGTTGTCCATAAATATATACATAAATATTATGATATTGGTGAATGCCTAGGCAAGACAGAACAATTCTACACAAATATATTCCCAGCTAAAAGAGAGCTCCAAATGTATTCTCAAAATAGTCTTGCAATTTCAGCAAAGAATCATTCTCGCCTGTATTTATTCACCTCACACTAGCTTTGTACAGTGAGGGGAAATTATCCTGTGCGCACATTTAGGGGTGCACATTATCTGTAACCTATCATAAAAATGTATAATTTTATCATAAAATTTTGTAATATGAATCACAAAATGTGTAATCTCACAACAAATTAGCATAATAAAAATTTCTAAAATTTTGTAATTAATCTTGCAAAAGTTTGTGATTTTGTGGTTAATGTTATAAAATTTTATAACTTGGTTACAATATTTTTATTATGTTAATTTATAACGAGATTACACATTTTATAATTAATATTACATAATTTTGTAATAAAATTATATATTTTGTGATAAGAAAAAGACATAATTATTATGTGAATTAAAACAATAAAGTAGATTAGTGTAATTATATTAAAAATATGATGGCCACTGCATTTTCACCTAATCTCAAGGAATGTGAATGTAATTTATCCTAAAAAGTAGTATCTAAATGTAATTTACCTTAAAAAATACTATCTCTGTTATAAATTGTTGGGATAATTACAAAAAAAATCCTCAAAGTTAGACCCTTATAACAAAATAAACCATGATTTTTTAATTTTATCAATTTAAACCCTAAACTTTTGACTTGCTTTCTATCTAAACCATTTGTCTATTCTTGTTAAGTAAAATTGATTGAAAAAATATTTTTTTAATCATTAAACTCTATGAAAAAGAGTATTTTAGACATTTTATATATACCTACATTGAGTTTAATGATTAAAATACTCGTTTTCCATCGGTTTTATTTATGAAAAATAGGTTAATGATTTAGATTGAAGGTAAATTAAAATATTAGGGTTTAAATTGATAAAATTAAAATTTAGGGTTTATTTTGTTAAAAAAACTAAAATCTACGGATTTTTTTTTTAATTGTCCCTAAATTGTTTGACCAATACCAAAAAGAACTTAAAAATAATATAATTTTTATGCAAAAAATTTAATTTGCTTTTTTCATAAACTAAAAGTACTTTATAAAATCTTTTAATTGATGAAAAACTAAAAAAATTCGACACAATAATACATATATTTTTTGGTTCTTAATTTTATGTCAGCTAAATAATTTGGAATGGTGTAAGAGTATATATATTTGACTAATCTCACTAATAGTATATGCATTAAAAACTTAATTTTGAATATATTATTATGGTGCACATGGTATTGCCTCTCTTATTTATCTTTGGATGACTTGTGTTTAATAATCTGATTCAGTACATAAAATAGAATGTATTAATTGATAATCAATTAAGTCTATTTGATAATTATAATTGATATCACTTAAAAATTGAAATACCACTTAAAATGTAGGTTAAAACTTAAGCAAATTTTAAATCATATGAAACTTACCTAATTCTGACTGAATTTTTAAATACTATTATAACCTCACTACCACCATTACCACCACCGTTGCCACCACCACCACCATCATCATCATCGTTATTGCTACCACCACCACCATTGCTACGGCTACTACCACCATGCCATCGCCACCGCCGTTGTCGTTCCCGCTGCCGCCACCATCACCTCATCACCATTGTCATGGTCATCATATGTATCACCATTATTTTACTACCACTACTATTGCTATCACCACCACCACCACCACCACTGCTATCAATACCACCACCATCACAATATAAAAATTAAAATATACAATTTGATAATAATAAATTTTAAATTTGATTAAAATTTAGGAATCTTCCATCGAAGGGTCATAGCGATGACGTGGCAAGGATGGCTAAAATAGCTGACGTAGCATGAAGTGGGACTAAAAAGAGAAGGCTACGAAAGATGATAACAAAGAATCTAGAAAGAAATCAAAAAACAATTCCTAAAATACGGGGATAAACATGAAGAGAGGCAGAAAATCAAGGAAGATCAAAATGAAAAGCCAGTCCATGAGTCAAATACAAAAGGAAACTGGAATGAGGATCAAGGAATCATCAACCATCAACCACACTTGTGAAGAGTTATTTAGGAGTGGTTCTAGATTACCTATTTTAGGAGTACATTAAACTAGCAGTACAACAAAAAAGGATTTTTACGGCGCGCAATGCATGCCGTAAAAACCCTTCTACGACGTGCAGGCGCGCGTCATATTATGACCAGTCATGGAAAGTCATTTACTTTCAATGACATGTTTCGTACGCCGTTAAAAACTATTTAACGGCAGATTTTGTACGTCGTCGTTACTTTTTCTACGACATGCTATAGTACGCCTTTAAAAACTATTTAACGACAGATTTTGTGCGTCGTCGTTACTTTTTCTATAACTACTTTTGCACGCCGTAAATTGGTTAGACAAATAACGACACTGATTGCGCGCCGTAAAATATGTAATACAACGACTTATTATGCCTGTCATAGAATATGCAATTATTTATTTTTTATTTTGTTTTAAAATTCAACAAATTCTATTTGACCAATTTGGTATAATCTAACAAATATTACAAACAAGCATTACAAAACATCAATCAACCACCAAAATATTGTTTGAAACATTAAAAAAAAAACTATATCCATAAATTATAAACATTCAACAATTGTCTATACATTCCAAACATTCGAAAACTATATCCTTAAGTTCTAAACTGCACAAAAAAATTTAAACCATCCAAAACTATGCATATCTAACTTTCTAAACATAGCGACAACTATTAAGAGATTATCTAAAACTACCGACAATAGTTCCTATAGTAGTTGCAGTTGCAGTTGCAGCTGTAGCAAATCCACTTGCTCCTATCACAGGGACGAGGGTGCCCAATGTATGTGTCACCTAAACCCGCGTCAATAGCTGGAGCAACTAATCCTATTGCATTTCTTGTCTGCAAAACTTTACATAAGTACATAAACCAACAACTCAGGACAAAAATATTTTTGAGGTATTAAGAAATGATGAAGAAATTTTAAAACAACAACAAAGCATTTCCAAAATTAATAAGATAATTCAATGGCCCCATAAAAGCAATGTCATAATGAAAATTAGCAAAAACTCAATATATCAATAGTCTCAACGTATATGCAAATAAAATCCACATAAAGTAAAACCTTTTTTTTCATACCTCAAATGAAGTTACATCTAATGAAGTTACATCTTTTGTTGCAATGTTTCTAGAGGGAAATGAGTAGGAATCTTCAAACAAACCATTAAGTTTGTACAAGAATAAATAGTTTGCTACTAAATCCAGACCATAAGAAGCTCAAGAGAAAAATTAAATTTAAAAAGAGGAAGAGGTGGAATTAATCTACTTCAATGCAACATACTTGGGACTTACATAATTATGTTAAAGGATCTCTACTTTTCCAACCCTTAAATCCTACAATTCATTGTTAAGAGTTTCATCAACAATTAATTTTAAAAAAATCAAAATCAAAACCAATTCTTAAGACCGTGTGGTATTTATAACCCATTCCTTTTCGGATAGGCATGGAAATTGTATAATTAAGATCAATCACAGAAGATATAAGTTTAGCATCAGTCCATCCACCCACACTTGGGTCCAAAAGCAGCCTTTTTACCACATCCTATTCTACTTTAGATTTATCAGCAGAAATTAGAACCATTCCTTGTCCATGAAAAGCTCGGTTTGAAGTGTCAACTCAGTAAAAGACAAGGCAGGATGAGAAAAAGTCACAGGGAACCCTGTCATTACGAGGCTTTATAGTCATTACTAGGGTACATGTCATTACTAGGGTTGGCAGGGGCCCATGTCATTACTAGGCCATGTGCTTAAAGTTAATAGGGTTTACAGTCCCATTTTTTACTGCTGATGGTCTAAACATAAAGCTTATCAATATTTCATGTCAATTGTTACACATAATTTACAGTAGCTGTAGGCCTACAATGCATCAAGTTAACATGTCATACTACTGAATATGCTGCAGAAGCCTTACAGACATAGCAGTGTCAAATGGAGATCTAAAACTTTAACCATTCAAGGCAGTTTAATGTATTGTTTGCATCACCAAAATATACCAGAAAGAGGATAGTTAATATCAGCTTATTTGACCAAAACTATTTACAAAAACATCAGGTGCAGCTTTTGCTGTGTAAACCTTATGGTAAATATTTTCCCCACTTCCCCCTGATTAGTACATAGTAAACCTTACAAGAGTGTGAACATGCATTCACAGAAGAGCTTGCTTACCTTGCACTTATCCCACAAAGAAGGCAATACCTCCTCTGAGGTTAGGTTCTTTTGCAATTTCTTATACATCGCAGTGATGGACTTGTCAACCTGAACAACACTAGTCTTGCGTTACTGAACCATCTTGATACTAAAGGCAGGAGATACTATAGGTTACACAATGACTTACCCCAGATAAACTGGATTTCACCACCTTCCGTAGATCCAATTTTGACAATCCAAGCTGGAATGGGATCTTCAATTTTTACAAAAGAAAATAAAAATCTTCAGGCAAATACTCATATCAACAATTACTGCAGTACTTATACTGAGTTTAGTGTAAAACAAGTGCTACACCCATCCAATCTCCAAAAAATTCATTACCCAAACTTAAAATGTTGAGACTTGGTAAATGCCTGGGAAAAGAAGGCATTGGCTCTGCTGATGGCATCCAAGCAATCACCAGAAATACAGGCAAAAGAACATCGCCAACAAAGAGAAGAACATCATTTTGGACGGACAGAACATCGCCAACAAAGGGAAAAGATACATGACACTTTTTTTATTTTTTTATTCAGAGGATGTATGTCTGAAGGATCAAAAAGCATAACAACGATGACATATTCAATGGACTTCAAGATCTAAGCTGCCTAAATAAATCCCCAAATGACCACAGCAGCATCAAATTTACTATTTGTGCTTCTAGAAATGTTTCTACCCAATCAAAATTGCTGCAAATTTCTAGCAATGTAAAATTTACTGTTAAGCATTTGACCAGTGGTTAAAAGCATGTAGTAACACACATATTTTTCCAAAGAGTATTATACAAATTAACAAAATTTACATACTTCTGTTACTCATATAAGTTGTGCCTAACATATTATTCTAGTGGGTCCCGCTATAGATACCAAAGTGTCATTACTATATGCTACATGTTTAAGTAAGAAAAGTTTTTTGAGTTTTGTTATTTTGTGTAGCATTTTTCTTTTCCAAAACACTTAAAACACGTTCCACTGAAATCAATGCTAATCCTAACTAAACTGCAAGAAGCTAAGCCGTGGCACAACAGGATCATGGCCGAAGAGCCAAGGAATATTCTAACCGTCTGGCAGAACATCAGTATTACTCATGGGGAGTAAGGAATTATATTCAAAAATAAGAACACTAACCTCTTCTTGGGTGATAGTGTACATCAAATCCTCAATTCTTCAAGCAAACTGGAAAAGCCGTTCAAATTGCTGCAAACAAATTCAATCAAAATGAGCAACTTCAGAAACACACATGTACTATTGTATGCTATTACAGGAAAATTTGTTAAGCTTTTAATAGAAACTAAAATTACTTGAAAAATTGGCAATGACAACAAAACCTTAATTTTTCAATCAAAACCCCCCAAATAAAAACCCAAAATTCTCAATTTAAAACTTAACTTCTCAAAACTTTTTTTTTTTTCCAATTGAAGTCCCCAAATCACTAAACATATACATGAAATAGAACAAATGGTGATAGAAAAATCTGAACAGAGTTTGGCTAGATACAGAAAAATCTACCTTCGTTCAATCAACACCTCTTGACTGTGGTGGCTTCGAAACCCTAGCTTCATAGAGAGAGAGAGAGAGTGAGTGAGTGAAAGAGAAGTAGTAACAAAAGTAAGAAACTACCATCTTGTTAAAACCTACCACTACACCTACTCCACCCACTTCACCTACTCCACCTACTACTCCACCTACTACATACCTACCTCCTCTAATCTTCTATATATAGGACTCATTGTAAACATAATCAATATAACATACATCAATCAATAATACATCATTTTTAACATGGTATCAGAGCAAGGTAAAACAACTTTGTAATTCCGCTTCACCAGCGGGCGGCAACCTCGCCTTGGCCGCCCGCCAGACAAACCCAAATTTCCTTCATTTCTTCTTCAATGGCAGATTCTTCAACAACACTTTCAATAAACAGATCAAACTGCATAGAGGATCTAAGGCCACAGTGGTGCTTCCAATCCCAAGTCACCAACCCAAAATGGCAGACCAAGCAGCATGGTCTTCAAGGAAGCACATACAGTGATTCCTGCCCACATAATAGCAGAAGCCATATCGACACTCCATGGTCTTGACCTAAGATGGTCAGGCCCAATCACACCAACTGAAATGCAATCTGTTGACCAATATGTCCTAGCCAAGTACCCGGAGTACTCCAATGCTCTAGTTGAAGGAGGAGAGAAGACTGACCTCTACAATCTTTGTATCAAAGAAGAGCCATTCAATCTTCTAATCGATGACAAACGGAAGTCGCCCCGGTGCAGTCTCTCTGCTCATCTTTCTTCTGGTCTCGCTTGTGGCCTCGCTGGCCTCTCTGCTGGAATGGCGATTGGGATCGTCGGCGATGCTGGTGTTAGAGCTAATGCACAGCAGCCAAAACTTTTTGTTGGAATGATCCTCATTCCCATCTTTGCTGAAGCCTTGGCCCTGTATGGTCTGATTGTTGGCATCATATTGTCTTCTCGAGCTGGTCAATCCAGAGCAGACTGAGAAGATGGTTTTCTCAACCCCATTTTCCTTTTCTTCTTTTATTCCTTTTATTCTTATTTTTGTACAAACCAACCCACTGATTTTATATTTTATTTTATCACATACCCATCATGTACCCCACTCTCTCTCTCTCATCTTTCCACTTTCAAACCCACAATCCTTTTTTTTAATCAACCCACTCCCTCACTTTCTTTAAACCCCTCCTTCCCTCACATGGGCTTGTCCCCTCTCTCTCCTCCGTTTGATTTCAAAATCCATTATTTTTATTTATTTTCTCCAAATCACTTTCCTTATTTCCCCCATCTTTCATTTTGATTTCAAATATATTTTTATTATTTCTTTCTTTATTTTTCTTTCACATTATTTTTAATCGTTTTCAAATTACATTCATACCATATAGCTTTGCACACCGAACCATATTTTATTCCTCTCAGGGATAAACCCCGATCACATTTTTACACAAAAAAAAAAAAAAAAAACAAAACAAAACAAAACAAAGAAAAAAAAAAAACAACAAAAAAAACAAAAACAAAACGATTTGTTTTCTTTTCTGCAGACCGACCTCACTTCCTCTACTCTGCCGCCGGTCTCTTCTTCTTGCCTCCATCCTGGGCGACCCTTGCCGGTGCTGCCTCCGTGTTTCCCAAACCACCAAGCAAGTTTCCTCCTCCATACTCCTCCACTGCAGCATATGGCGGCCCTCCAAATCGGAACATCACGGTGGCCTTCCGCTTCAGCTCCTTGTTTTCTGCCCTTAGCACGCTTATCTCTGCTCGCGCATCCTTATACATGCGTTGGAGCAGAGCCAGTTGGGCGTTTAACTGCTGCACCTCATTTGTCCTACTCTGCAGCCGGTGCGACAAGTTTGTGACCGCCGTCATGCTTTCCACACATGCCTTCAAAGTATACTGATTAGCCTCCACATCCGTTTGCACTGCCATTTTTTGCTCCACAGACCGCATCGGAAAGTTCAACGGAACA